AGACCTTGTGAATCATTCTGGAATTCACCAGGGACACCTGTGGAGATCAGATGCACGGACCGCCTCATCACAGACCATATGGACACAGTATTCCTATTGAGCCCTAATGGTTCTTTAAGTTCAATCTCATATAAAGTCACTAATATAGAGGTGCAACAGACCACCTATCATGGTGAAATAAGGCAGAACCTTTTACAAAGCCAAATGGATGCTGAATCACTGCCTGCCATCTGAGATTGGGATGTGAATCATGCCAATTTAAGTAAATTTGAGCTCCCCCCACATCACACACTAAGCAGAAATTATCAGGCCAGCTGTAACCACAGCACAATTTTGGGCATTATTTGTGCTGTTTTTATCAACATGTTTATGTCCCTGCAAAGCATTTTAGTCAAATTACACTTTTCCATTTCAGATTACAATTTCTTCTCGGACAAAAACAAGATTATAGTAGATGCCACGTGTGATTTAAGAATTTAAAGGGATAGTTCACATAAAAATAACAATTTTGTCATTTACTCACCCTTATGTTATTCCAAAACCTGTATGACTTTCTTGTCTAGAAGAAAAAAAGTTTATCTATCAGAATGTTTATACTATGAAAGCAAATGGACTTTTGCAGCACAAGAAAGAATGTCATTATGAAATAACATGAGGTAAATGTTGACAGAATGGTTCATTCTACATGACACTCTGGGGAAAAGGTTAACTTCTATTTCCCCAAAAATACAAATAGCTAGTATTCTTCCAGTTATTTACAACTGAAAAATAAAACAAAAAAATTCTTAAGAATTCTTAAACAATAAAAGAATCTCATATAAAATCTCTATAAAAGCAGATGTTGCAATAAAACATAATAGATGTTTTTATCTATTATAAAATAGATGTTTTACCCCCCCCGCTTCTTCCCTCTAAATAATCTCTCTATTTTGTGCAGAACTGAAATTGCCCCATTTTAACAGTTCAAAATTCAAAAGGCACTGAGTTCACAACGATGCTTCCAATACCGATATTTTAGTGCCATCTAGTGGGAATGATTGTGACATAAGATGATCTAGCGCCTTCAAATGTGTTTCTGTTTAGCAAAAAAGTTTGGTTATTAAAATATAAGGAATGTTTTCGGATTTGCAAACAGATGAACTTAGAAAACGAAACGAAATAAAAGACAAATCATTCTACATGAAATCTGGCATATTGAACGTCACACACATCTTATAAGAGAGAATGTTCTACCATGGTAGCTTATAACATTTTTGAAATCTCATAAGGGTAAATGGAACGGTTACATATAATACATTTACATAAAAATAACTAATCGCATACGTAAAAAAATATATAAAACTAAAATTCACTGCGCTTTTCTAGAACACTGACGCGCGCATGCGCCACGAATGTATAACCACACACGGTCAAAGGCACGTGCGTGTGCGTCTACCGGCTGTCATTCAGTAGTCTGTGCGTGGATAGAGTGGATTTAACTACCTTCGCGCTTGTTTGCGACTTTATAATAATAACTGGGGATTGATTGTGGTTACTATCTACTTTTGGAATGGCAAGAGGAAGTCGCAGTCGTCCTTCACCGGCACCAGCGAGGTATCTCAGACACTTTGGCTGATAGTTTTGTAACGCACCTGCAAGCTAACTTTGACTAAATGTAGGGGTAAAGTTAGATATGTCAGCAGTACTCAAGAAAAACACTAGACTGCTCATAAAAAATATTAGACTGAATACTTGATTGTTTGTTCGCTTATTCCTTTTGCGTATCCCAAATACATCCAGAGCAGTAGGTGAAAGGTCGAACCAAAAGCATGATATTCTAAGTGGAAAACCCTTAATAGCTGCTTAGTATTTATTTATTTATTTAAATGTATTTATTTATGCGTAATGTCTGTCATTTGATAGCCTATGACGCAAACCAGGTTTAAGACTTTATCTTCTTTCCATCTGAAGTTGCCAAAAGCAGCTCAAAGACATCATGTGTCTTCATGTGTGAACAGTCTTCATCATGAGATACTGATTCAGGTTAATGTAAAATATTTTCTTTATATCCTATTTTCTATGTATATTCTTTACAAGGCATATGCCAAGATGAGCTACTTTTATGGGATTTTATAGTGGGTTTTATACTTTGTTATTTTATAACATATTTCACTTTGTATTCTACTCAGTGCTCCTGCCCCATCCTACGCTCCAGCCCCCGCACCACCACCTCCTCCGATGGCAATGGCCCCTGCCACGGCCCAGCCCAAGCAGCCAGGTCTCATGGCCCAGATGGCCACCACAGCTGCTGGAGTGGCAGTCGGCTCGGCCGTAGGGCACGTGGTGGGCAGTGCCATCACAGGTGCTTTCAGCGGAGGCAGCAGCTCAGAGGCACCCAAACCAGCACCAACATCTCAGGTGATACCTATAAAAAGCCATATTTCTCTGGAAAAATATTTTGATGAATCATCACACAAATCTTTTGCACTTTTTCAGTGGCCTTGGTAATTTTGTCATTAACAGGGATTTTTAAAAGTTTTTATTAAACAATTTATAAGCTATGAACCAAACTAACCAGCTACGAGGTGAAGCAAGACATTACAAACTTTGATTTGATGCAAAAAAATATATAAAAATAAAAATAATAAAATTGGATAGAAAGTCGTTGCGTAAAAGACTGTGTACTTATAGGCTTTAATGAGGGAAAGAACTACAATACCATGAAGCATTGCATTTAAAGATTGTGTAGATAGAAATAGTATATTTTACATGTATTGCAAAATATTCACATGCAATATAATATACCTATATTTAAGTTATTTGACAGTGTAGGGAGGCTGATTATGTCATTTGCAGTGATTCTTGGGAATGGGCGGGCGCTAAAGAGTTCTTTTGTAGTGATTTGCTTGTTTTGATTTTTTTATTGGAGATTTCTTTGCAGAATCATGGGAAATGTTTTTTTTTTTAGGAATTCCACTGTTAAACAGGATTGTTTTAAAAAATAAAATAATGTGGATTAACAGTTTTAGCAAAAGTATGCATCATTTATTAACAGCCCCGTAGCTCACAGTAGGTCTTTCTTTAGTTTTTTTTTTAGTCCAATTTCAAAGTTAGTTAAAAATCAATTCCTCTATAGAGAAAATTAATGTTTTTTTTTTAAATTCTGGAGCAGGACTATTGCAGTCTATAGTAGCAACAGTTCATACTGACAACATCATTTAAAAAAAAAAATGGGTGCAATTTTCCATAAAATACAACCCTGGCATGCATTTATGCGGTGGTGAAAAGATGCATTTTTTATTTTCATGAAGAATATGGAAAAAACTAAGAAGCATGACAGTGGCTACATCCCCTCATCTTTTATTTATGCTTGCAGGAGCCCTCACGACTTCCACCCTCTCAGTCTGGCCCATGTCTCTTTGAGGTGAGGCAGTTTCTGGACTGTGCCACGACTCAGGCTGATCTGAGCTTGTGTGAAGGCTTCAATGAAGCTCTTAAGCAGTGCAGACTCTCACATGGTAAGCTTCTCGTCAACACGGACATTAGACATGATCCTTATCTAGGACTGTACTACATGCAAGTCACATGCTTTTATGTGAATCTCACAGACAACACAAAGAAATTCCAAATTGGATAGTGATTTTGTTTCAGAGTGGTTGAAATTAGGGCTGTGCAATTAATCGCATGCAATTGTCATGCGCATCTCGTCAGTAAAGCCGGTCCCGTGATTAGTAGTAAATCGCCATCACCTGCTTTCAGATGGAGTGGCATTTAATACACAGAGCTGACAAGTTCACTGACAAGCTACACGATATCGCGTTCATAATCGCAGATGAATCGCATTCGATTATGAACGCGATATCGTGTAGCTTGTCAGTGAACTTGTCAGCTCTGTGTATTAAATGCCACTCCATCTGAAAGCAGGTGATGGCGATTTACTACTAATCACGGGACCGGCTTTACTGACGAGATGCGCATGACAATCGCATGCAATTAATTGCACAGCCCTAGTTGAAACTGCCAAACAATATTTGGTAAGAAATACTTAAGAATGAGAGATACACATGCATTAATGTACTATTTTATTAAAAACCTGTTGTCCGTGGAATGACCTTCTGATGACCTTTTGTCCCTTTAGGTGTAACATCTCTGGTGTGATGGAGAGCATGGGAGATTTAAACACTAAATGTAGTCGAATATTGGTCCAGAATATCAATATTTCCAGCAGTTAATGTGAATTACTTATGTTTATAGTTATGAAATACACATTGGTACTTTTGAATGTCTGATCATGTAAATGAGGTTGTACAATTAAAAAGCTGCTATTTATCTTTTTTCTTTGACTGTTATTTTATAAAAAATATGTGCTAATATAAAATTAAATTAAGTAGCCTATATAAAATTGCAAAATAAATCTATCTATCAGTACTTTTTTACTTAAGTACATAAAAAATCGAGTACTTTAGTACTTTCACTCGAGTAAAATTGAAAAAGGAGTACTTTTACTTTTACTGGAGTAATATTTTATTATACGGATCTGCACTTTTACTCAAGTACTTGATTTGCGCATTACACTGTTTTATGTGCATGTGGAACAGGTCCATTTTGATATAGTCGTGTTTACGATTTACACGTATCTAATAGAGTTACAAAACAAAAGTAAAGCAAACAAAAGTAACAAGTTATATCACACTCTTTCCAAACTAAGTTTGCACAGCAGGTCTTGATAACACAATCTCTCCTTTTGTCACAAATATTGATAGCATTTTTTACTTCACACACACAAACAAGAAAGAACAAAGGAATTGATTTAATATGCAGCATAAAAAAACAAAGGAATTGATTTAATATGCAGCATAAAAACACAATTTTCTAAAATGTATAATTATAGTAACATTAATTTTGATAAACAATTCAACTTGTTCAAATCACAACTCAAGAGGCGTGAAAGGAATGCGGCACGCTGACCAATCACAGAGCTCGGTGAACAGGCGTCTCTGTCTTTCAACCAATCAGAGAAAGCGATTTTTCACAAGGAAACGAAGCCACAACGGGTCATTCTCACACTAGTCAGCAGCAGTAACTGTGAAATAATAATGCCGTTCATAAATGTAGAAACCAATTTACCTGCAAGCAAGTTTCCAGAAGACTTGCTGAAAGGACTCTGTACTACATTGGCTGCAGCTTTGGGGAAACCGGAAGACGTGAGTATTGTAGCATTGGTTATGTAATGGTTCTCTCTTCACGTTAAATGTCTTGACCTTAATCATAGATCTTAAAGTTCCGCCGTCATGTAACGCAATGGTTCATGTCTTCAGAGGATGAATCTGGTGGTGAAGACTGACCTGCCGATGATGATCTCGGGGTCCAGCTCCCCGTGTTTGTTGATGTCCTTGTCTGCCTTAGGAGTGACTGATACTGCGGAGAAAAATAAGGAGCATAGCGCCAAAATCTTCCAGTTTCTGAAAGGAGAGCTTGGGCTTAGCGATGACCGGTAAATTAATAAAAAAATTACGGGTTGAACACACTTTGAATGTACTGGTTACTTACCTACATTAATATTTGGCAACTTGTTGAAAGTTGCAATGTAGTGCGTAAAATCTAGTAAACTTAACATACATATCTGAAATACAAACCAAAATATTATTGATTGACATTGCATTAATGGGCGTGTCTATTTTTGTCCAATAAAATGCTTCCTGGAATGATAATGTCCCTCCCCCTTAATTATAAATCCCACCTGCCACTGTAGCAAATCAGCGCTCATTTTTAATAGTGGCATTGCTTCAAAATGGCCACGAAATGGTGTAATTTAATTGCATTAAATGGGACTTTTGATCAAGCCATTGTTTGTGTTATAAAATATAATGTCCTGATTTTTTCTCTCTTCTGTGTTCACTCTTGCAGTATTTTGATATTGTTCTACCCTCTGGAGCCATGGCAGATTGGAAAGAAAGGAACAGTGATGAGCTTCTTATAAGACTTCACATTCTTTTATGTGTGATTCCTGTTTGGGATTCAACTAGCTGGACACGCATTGCTCCTGGATGATAGGACCGTTTTGTTCTTATAGGAATAAGAATATTTCCTGATTTTCTTGAATAGTAGCCTGTGATTTAAAAATAATCACTTTACTAAAATAAATATAAAATGCATTTAGCATTTTGATAGGAAATCAATATATTGGGTTGGATGTGTCTATTTTTAGACAATAAGGAAAATAAGTCGATCAAGTTATATTATATAGTTAATTGTTTGAATTGCTCAGTGTTAATCACTTTTCCAGAGAACGTGCCATATTCAATCAATCAGTTCATCTGTCAAACACATCTACGGGTCAAATCAGACCATAATGACCAGCTTACAAAAGCCATAGAAATATCCATAACCATGTAGTCAGCTGAGGACAAAAAGTGAGTTTTGATTTACACAGATGTCAGTTGCATAGCACAGAGTATAAGTGCACACAAAATGTCTTTATCATCAGCTGTGTTTGTTAAGTACATGGATTCAGAAATTTGCTAAAAAAAATTAAATGGAAAAACAATAAAAACACTCTTGAATAAAGCATCTGTGTAATTCATTCAGGAGTTTTGGGATGATGTGGGTAGCATTTGCTTCCAGGGTAGACGAGCAGTTTGGATCTACAGTATGCGTTTCGTGGTTCAAGAAGAAAAGAAGAACACTCACTTTTCTTGCACACAAATAAACATGAAATACATTGTAATTGTGAAATCATACTATTTATTAGTGATACTGTGAAAACTGATTCTTCAAAGATTACTGGATTATGTTTTACAAGAACTACTTAAATTAAGTCAGCGTCTTACTAATGATTCTTTGTAATTATTTTTGAAATTTACTATCAATTTCTGAAAATCCTACACAATTTTTTTCAATAGACAATTTTACCACCAGGCAAGTTTTCTAAAGACGTCATAAAAGTAGTTTATTAGTATAATATTTAAGCTATGTAGGGGGTATCTTCAATATGTTAGTTTTAGATCTTAAAAAAACTGTTTTGACAGCAATTCTTCAAATTAAAATATGATATTTGAAGAGATGAACGTTCTATGAACTGTCACGATTAAAATACCCTCGAGTTCCGACAGATGGCGTTAATTGCAAGAGAGAAGAATGAAAATAAAATGATTCAAAGTTTATAGCTAAACACAAAGTTCTCATTTCATAGTCGAATTATAGTGCTTAAAAGCTTGATCAATTTAAAGTGGTTATAATATTAAGTCATTCTGTGTCCTTTGTGATCAAATTCCACACACTCACGATGAGATCGACTAGTTTTTCTTTCCCCCAGTTGGCAGAGGGTTAGGAACAGAGTTCAGCGGGGTGTGGTGTAGCAGACGCAGCAGTAGCAGGCGATTCTTGTGCAACGGGGAACAGTCATTTCATTGCAGTTTTCACTGGGTTGTGTTTTAGTATAGAAGTCAGATACTTTTCAGAAAATGTCTTTGGAAATGTACTTGGATCTGTTTTCGCAGCCATGTCGCTCTGTTTACATTTTTGCCAAGAAAAACGACATCCAGTTCGACTACAAGAAGATTTCGCTTTTTGAAGGTACAATATGGTGTTACAGTATCTTAAACCGTGTTAAGTGCATTTTACCTTGATTTTGAAGCATTCACCAAAACTTCTTTATAGGAAGGAAAAGCTTACAGACTTTATGGAAGTTCTTCATTTTCATAAAGAACTGCAACAGTCTTTTTTCCCTTTTTGTTATATTTCTGTGTGAGAAGTTGTGGTTAGACTACAGAATGTAATCTTTTATTGATATAGGCAGATGTGGTTTATAGGTATTACGGGATTTAATGCTGTGAATCACTAATCTGGCAGTTATGCCGTTCCTGCACGTCTTAGAGCTTTTACATTGTGCCAGTTGTACACAATGATCACCCTAATATTATTATATGAGTATTTTTCCAAAACGTAAATATGAGATCTGTCCCTCAGGTTATCAGTATAGTGAAGAATATGGGAAAATCAACCTGCTAAGAAAAGTACCAGCAATCAAAGATGGAGACTTTTGCTTGGCTGAAAGGTATGTGGTCTATGGATAGCAAGGTTTTCCATGTTTTCAATTTAATTTAAGACTTAATAGTGATAAAAATAGCTTGTAATAGTATGTTAATTATTTTGCTCCTAGGACACTCCCAATATATATATATACAGTGGGTACGGAAAGTATTCAGACCCCCTTAAATTTTTCACTCTTTGTTATATTGCAGCCATTTGCTAAAATCATTTAAGTTAATTTTTTTTCCTCATTAAAGCTTTTTTAAAGTAACTAAAATAATTCTATTTAAAATTAAAATAATTATGTTTTTATTGTTTTTTATATACGAATTAAATAAGAGTTGTTATTTAATCTTATTTTCTAAATGTTTATGCTTTTTTTTCTTTGACGTTAAACCATTTTAAGTAATTTTGAGGCCCTTTGGAAATTTCTGAAGCCCTCTGGTTGAAAACCACTGTTCACCTGTTTATTTTGTGTCTCTTGTGAAACTCTTGAGTAAATAAAGTGTTACTTCCTGTAGTGTTGCGATTATGCTGTACCTGGCTGAGAAGTTCCACACTCCAGACCACTGGTACCCAGCTGACTTGCAGAAGTGTGCTAGAGTAAACGAATATCTATCATGGCAACACTCTGCCATACGGATACATGGATCCAAGATGTTCTGGTTTAAGGTGAGTGAAGTAAATTTATTTTCGTTCAAAGGTACTGTGTCTGTGGTAAACAGAACAACATTTAGATTTCAGCAGCTCCCAAGCTGATGGTTCACTCCTGTTGTTCTGTGACCAACTGAAGCCTGCCTAGTCTTTAGAATTGCTACACGGTTAACTGCTAACTTTTTAGTGTACTTATTTATAAATGGAATTAAGTAGTTTTCTTGTTTTGCTGTAGCTCTTGATTCCTAAAGCTTTAGAAGTTGAGATCCCGAAGGAAAAGATGGACAATGCAGTAGAGGATCTTAATGCATCACTAAACCTTTTTGAGGAGAAGTTTCTGCAAGACAGACCGTTCATTGTTGGTGATCAGATCTCATTGGCTGACTTGGTTGCTATTGTGGAAATCATGCAGGTAGGCCTATGTATGCAAATTATTCAGTTTCGGGTGAAGCAATATTATGATTTGAGAATTTAAGGCAGATGATATCTGACAGTCGTTTTATACTTAAATAACGCCTTTTTGTTTCAGCCTGTAGGTGCTGGTATGGATGTGTTTGAGAACAGACCCAAACTCAAGGCATGGAAGGACAGAGTCAGAGCAGAAATTGGGGCTGAGCTGTTTGATGAGGCCCACCAGGCAATTCTTTATGCCCAGGAGGCAGTGAAAACCATGGACCCCAAAAAGATGGAGCACTTCAAACCTAAAATTTTGAGATATTTCCTCTCATAAACAAACTGGTAGACATTGTTGGTTAAAACAGTCAGTTATTCAGGAAAAAGTACTTTATAATTTTCTAACTACACTTTCCATTTTGTGTAATCACTAAGAATGAAATTAATTAGCTTAAATTGTATACGACATATAGCCTTTGCCATTTTTCAGTGAATGGATCCAATAATCATCAATGTTTCTGTGTGACCTCAAAAAGAAGCAAACTGTGAAATAGCACGTTTCCAGCTGTGTTCGCTCTCAAAATCTGAATTGCTGCACTGTGACCTTATCATTTGAAAAAAACTAGGCAATAACACAGACACTCAATACAGCATTGTTTCAGAAAATCACTTAACACCCATGGGAAGGAGCTGGGAGGAATGTTTCCTCCCTCTGTGTTAATGGAATGTAATCAGATATTATATGGTTTCCTGCCAAATTCCTGCAACAAAAAAAAATGCACGATAAGGAATATCACATTTTGTTAATTTCTTGTAGAGAAAAGGGGTACATTGTCAGCATTTCCATCTCTCCAATATTGTCAATAAATCTATATTTTGTGATCAGTCTCTGTGGTGTATTTATTTTACCCTTTTCTCTACAAGAGTTATTTGTTTTTAGATTTATTTATCTAATTTATTTGTATTTCATTCTTCCATATTTAGTACTACATTCGAATGAACATGTTGGGCTTTGTGGTTTTCTGTTAAGAGGAACAGATAGTAAAAACTGGGACAATAACTAAAATGTTAGTTAATTTTGCATAAAAAGCTATCATATGGCTTCAGAAAAGCTGAAATAACGGGCATGAGTTGTACAGTTGGATTTATTTTTGTTAAATTATTACTTGGTTTGAGAGGCTCACGGTAAACCTTCACTTGTTATCTTCAGGAGTAGCATAATTTGCCTATGCAAAATATGGGCTTAATTAATTTGTGGGCAGTTGTATTCTGCAGTAAAATAATGGTCAAGTGAGAGCTCAGTGGTACTTCAAAACCTTGTTTAGATAGACCAAAACATCAGTTGTTTCCTCCGGACACCGTTCACTTTCATTGTGCAGAAAACAGCAGCGTCATCATTTCAATACAAATGCTCCATGTGCAAAAGGAACCACCTTCAGTGTAGCTCGTGACAAAAATGTCAACTATTCTTTTAAAACTGTTCTTGAGTAGTACATGATCTTCAGTCTCAGAAAGTGAAACGACAATTCAGCGGGAAGTGTGTAAAGTTTGGACCGCACTGCGGCGTCGTGGAAAGTTAATAACCTACAAAACTTGTGACCATGAGTGAACAGGAAGGGAGAAGTAGTTAATTTTACGGTTTCGTTCAAGCGATCATAATGAGCAAAAAAGGTTGCTGTGATTCAGTAGGTGAGTGTTTTTTCGACTACTATACGTCAAAAATATTAGTGATAAGAAGCAGGAAAGTGGGAACGCTGAATCGGTTCACTCAAGCTTTAGTCATAGCCTACGTCATCGGGTGAGTTAACTTGTTCGTATAATAAATACATAAAGAGCACATACGAGTATAATGAAACTGTATTCTTAAATAACTTCCTTGTTTGATTACAGGTATGTGTGTGTTCTTAAGAAAGGCTACCAGGACACGGACACCGTCCTCAGCTCTGTCACGACCAAAGTGAAAGGCATTGCTCTCACAAACACTACTGAGTTGGGTGAACGGATCTGGGATGTGGCTGACTACATCATCCCACCTCAGGTAGTCCGTCGATTTGACGAAGAGGAGGTACAGGCTAGACGATTTAAATGCCCGCTAACCTCACTGGTTCCACCACCTTCATGGGTTATGAAGAGGATATGGCTGCACCTGCATGCTCATACATTGTATTGTGTTAACTCTTTACTCAAGGGCTGTGTGCACTCTTTTGGAATATACACAGATTTTGAACAATGTCTCTTGGGAAATCAGTGTTGGGTGTAACAAGTTTGGTTTAATGATCTTAAACCAGTGGTTTTCAAACTTTATAGGTCCAAAGTCATTCAGACTTTAGTCAGTATTACTACACTAGAAACTTTTTCGTTTTCATGCTTGTTTATTCATACATACAGGCTGTCAAATAATTAAACTTGATTAATTTCAAGTCATTTCAAATAGTTTATTTTTAAAAGTTAGGGAAA